CTTACTAGAAAAGTGATATTTGTTTTGTTAAACAAAATTATGTTTGGCCAAGCGACATAATTTGAATTGGTGAAAATTGGGAAAAATGTAACATTACAGTTCAATATAATCTTAGAAAAGTTTTAAATACATGTATATGGTTTTGGGACATTTTCAAGAGTCTGTATTTAAATTTCACATATTTAAACCACTTAATTAGATTTCCATAGAAAGAAATGTTGAAAAAAAATAGCAATGTAACTCTCTGTATGGGAGATAAAAAAAAATTGTGTTATGCATCTTTAAATAAGAGCAGTAAGCATTCTCAGAGTATTGCATTAGCAATACTAGTCCCCTACCGGTAATCTGGTTCCCGTTAAAAATTGAAAATGTCATAATTCCGTCAAAAATCAATGAAGCGGAAGGAAATGCAAACTTGATCTGTAACTCATCAAGATAAAGTCACATACCAAAAATCAGCTCAATATCTACAAGCGTTTAGAAAAAAAGTGCGGAAAACCAATTGGGACAGACTGACAGACAGACAGAGGGACAGCTAGACAGACGGACGGACAGACTCAGAGGTAACCTATAGTCCCCTCCGGTTTCACCGGTAGGATTCTAATAAAATAAACTGTCCTCTAATCAATCTTCAACTGAGGCTTAACTTCAGTCAGCGAACATCATCAACTCCTGCAGTATAAGTTGATGGATATAAATTACATGTAGGTTAAGGACATATAACAGCTGAAATGATGCCCACCTTAGCTTGAGGAAAGTATTACAAAATGTATGGAACGCCATAGCTGCCTTATGTGGTTATTTCATGTGAAGATGGTGCTTTTTTATGTTATGCTGTGGTTATTTCATGTGAAGATGGTGCTTTTTTATGTTATGCTGTGGTTATTTCATGTGAAGATGGTGCTTTTTTGTGTTATGCTGTGGTTATTTCATGTGAAGATGGTGCTTTATTATGTTATGCTGTGGTTATTTCATGTGAAGATGGTGCTTTATTATGTTATGCTGTGGTTATTTCATTTGAAGGTGTTTTTTTTATGTGAAGATGGTTTTTCATATGAAGGTGGTTTTTTATGTGAAGGTGGTTTTTCATGTGATGGTGGTTTTTTATGTGAAGGTGGTTTGTTATGTGAAGGTGGTGTTTCATGTGATGGTGGTTTGTTATGTGAAGGTGGTTTTTCATGTGATGGTGGTTTATTATGTGAAGGTGGTTTTTCATGTGAAAGTGGTTTTTTATGTGAAGGTGGTTTTTCATGTGATGGTGGTTTTTCATGTGATGGTGGTTTTTTATGTGAAGGTGGTTTTTTATTTGAAGGTAGTTTTTTTTTATATCTAATGTGAAGGTAGTCACTCGGAACTCCTAATATTTTTGAAGACTGAGTTTAACAGCTAATATCCCGAAAATTTGAAAGTGAAACAAATACACAATATAATTAAAATCATTTTAACACGCCATTGCTAGTTCCTCTTTTTTCCATAGGCGCTTGGTTTCAGGATGGTGTATTTTGTGTATTATGTTTTTATCTAGCTGTGTCTGAATAAACTCGATGACATAAAAATAAAAAATAAAAAATCACTGAAATAAGCACGTTTTAAAAATGTAATATTACTGTGTACAAAAAAAAAAAAAGAGTGAAGGTACGATCGGAGTTGCAATCTTCGATTTTACGGGGTACCCGGCTCGTTCACACTTGATTTTAATCAATATCTACACTTTTCCTACCAGTTTCGGGTGAAATCTACATTTAAAATTGATTGAATAACGCCCTTCAATCGTCTGACAATTTGAACTTGCCGTATGAAATATGCAGTAAACAAAAACATCCTGATAGTGAAAGCAATGGAAGTGACGATTTTTAACCTTGTAAAATGTAGAGGCGTCCATAACACGGAAAGTCTAGAGAGAACAAGTTTGGCGCGGTTTCTGTCCACTCTAGATTTTCCAAAGATGGCAACTGTCATACCTACACATGTACACTCCTATTATATACAGTAATATGAATTTTTAAAACGTGTTAATTTCAGTGATTTTTTTTTTAATTTTTATGTTTTCGAGTGTATTCAAACAAACCTAAAAAATAACATAATACACAAAATACTCCATCCTGAAACCAAGTGCCTACGGAAAAAAGAGGAACTAGCAATGGTGTATTAAAATGATTTTAATTACATCGACTATTTGTTTTGCTTTAAAAATTTCGAGATAATATCTGTAAACTCAGTATTAAACTCAGTCTTCAAAAAAAATGAGGAGTTCAGAGTGACTACCTACACATTAAATATATATAAAAAAAAAAAACACCTTCACATAAAAAACCACCTTCACATGAAAAACCACCATCACATGAAAAACCACCTTCACATAAAAAACCACCATCACATGAAAAACCACCTTCACATAAAAAACCACCTTCACATGAAAAACCATCTTCACATAAAAAACCACCATCACATGAAAAATCACCTTCACATAACAAACCACCTTCACATGAAATAAGCACAGCAAAACATAATAAAGCACCACCTTCACATGAAATAAGCACAGCATAACATAATAAAGCACCATCTTCACATGAAAAAATAACCACAGCATAACATAATAAAGCACCATCTTCACATGAAATAACCACAGCATAACATAAAAAAGCACCATCTTCACATGAAATAACCACAGCATAACATAATAAAGCACCATCTTCACATGAAATAACCACAGCATAACATAAAAAAAGCACCATCTTCACATGAAACAAGCATTCTGAGAGTATTGCATTAGCAATACTAGTCCCCTACCGGCAAGTGTAATCTGGTTCCGTTCCCGTTAAGAATTGAAAATGCCATAATTCCGTCAAAAATAAATGAAGCGGGACGAAATGCAAACTTGATCTATAAGTAATTAAGGTAAAGCCACATACCAAAAATCAGCTCAATATCTACAAGCGTTTAGAAGAAAATTGCGGAAAACCCGTAAAAATTGAAAAGGCCGTAATTCCGTCAAAAATCAATGAAGCGGAACGAAATGCAAACTTGATCTGTAACTCATCAAGATACACTTACATACCAAATATCAGCTCACTATCTGCAAGCGTTTAGGAAAAAAGTGCGGAAAACCAAGTGGGACAGACTGACAGACAGACAGAGGGACAGACAGACAGAGGGACAGACAGACGGACGGACAGACGGACGGACGGACAGACTCAGAGGAAACCTATAGTCCCCTCCGGTTTGACCGGTAGGGGACCAATAACCACATAAGGCAGCTATGGCGTTCCATAAAAATGTACAGGTCAGTGGCATGACAAGGTATAGCAGAAACAAATTCTATTTACCTGCGTATTGAGAAGATACTCTAAAAACATATCAACGGGTCACCCGAGTTAACCAATGACCAATGATTATTAGTCCCCTACCGGTGAAACCGGAGGGGACTATAGGTTTCCTCTGAGTCTGTCCGTCCATCTGTCTGTCTATCCGTCCGTCTGTCTGTCTGTCACTCTGTCTGTCTGTCAGTCTGTCCCACTTGGTTTTCCGCACTCTTTTCCTAAACGCTTGCAGATATTGAGCTGATTTTTGGTATGTGAGTGTATCTTGATGAGTTACAGATCAAGTTTGTATTTCGTTCCGCCTCATTGATTTTTCACGGAATTATGGCCTTTTCAACTTTTAAGGGTTTTCCGCAATTTTCTTCTAAACGCTTTCAGATATTGAGCTGATTTCTGGTATGTGACTTTACCTTGATGAGTTATAGATCAAGTTTGCATTTCCTTCCGCTTCATTGATTTTTGACGGAATTATGACATTTTCAATTCTTAAAGGGAACCAGATTACACTTACCGTTAGGGGACTAGTATTGCTAATGCAATACTGTATATATATATTTGCCTTGATGTTTCTAAGGAAGTGAATTTTAATGTGCAAACATTGTAAGATTTTTGGATTCAAGAGTCATGATTTGCAGAAACATGAATCTGTACTAAATGAAAAAAAAACAGTGCTTGCAAATTAGTAGGGGAAATATAAACTTTTTGTTAGAATGATTTAAAACCTTTAATATATCGATTTGTCCTATTGTGCTAATATCCTTCCCATTTGGTGCCATGAAATATAAATTATTATATGGGATTAAATATATTTGACCTTAGTGCTCTTGAGAAAAAGAGTTTAGTAGATGTTATTGTCTGTGCACGATTACTTGACCGGAGGTGACCAGTCAACTTTTGATTGATGAGTATTGGGTGACGGCGTTGGTTTTTTTTTTAAGCCTCTGCACCAAATACTTTTTGGTTCTTTAATACAAAAGAATCCCCGTTTCAAGGTTCATGTGGTCAGCTTTGACTTTTCTTTGACTCACCATAATCAAAAAACTGAGTTGTATGGTCTTTGTGATAACTCAAAGGTTATTCTGCCTACTTGACTTATCTTGAATGGACAATTTTATATTCCTATATATATGGCCAGCCTCGCTCCAGGAGACAAAGCGGACGTATCCCAATATAAAGCCAGTGCAGCCGTCTTGGCTCCAAACGGACGAGGATTTGAACAATTTGAATTTTCAATTTTTATTATTATTATTTTTTTTTTTTTTTTTTTTGGAGTTAATCTATGTCCTCACTGTCATTATCGATTATCTCCCCTTGATATGGGCATGACCTTTCATTTAAAACAAATCGAATTATGTTTACAAGGAAAACTTTATGGCAGGTTTAGCTGAATTTTGCACCGTAGTTCTGAATGAGAATTCAAAATTTGTGAAATGTTTACAAACACAAAGTCGGATATCAGACACGATTTCCCTTGGGCCTTTGGCTCAGGTTAGCTTTAAAAAATATCAAAAGCTATTTCCAAATTAAACTTGAATGGCCTTGGAAGTTTATTTTTGAACAATAATCAATGCACCATGTTACATTTAGATGCTCATATAGACATACTTTAGCTGTTTTAATTAAGATCTGTTTCACTCGCCGTACATTTTACTCGGGGAACTATATAATGTATATAAACATTACGGATTGTTAAATTGTTAGGAGAACATCATGACTCTGAATCGTCGTGAGTCAGATGTAGACAGGGGGTGGGCCTGGGCAGTGCTGGGAGCCAGTTTCCTATCCCTCCTCCTAAATGGATGTCTACTTTATGGTGTTGGAATTACACATGTTGCATTTTTGCGTTTATACAAAGAGTCAGATGCCTACACATCTTTCCTAGGATCATTATTTAGCAGCCTTCTACAGCTAATTGGTATGTACTGAAATAGAAAATCAATAATGTTTCCTTACTCTACATAGCAGAAATTTTCTTATAGCTTTTTGACTATGATATATTTTATTTTGATTATAGTATATCTACTACGGATTTTAACACTCCAACGAATGCGTGTTACGCGCATGAATTAATATCAATAGTGCCTGCACTTAATTTTTTTGTTGTCGTTCAGGTCCAGTAGCCAGTTTATCAATCAATGTTTTCAACTGCCGCCTTACAATGATAGTTGGAGGATTGCTTATTTTTATCGGCTGTTCCGCAACATACTTTGCATATTCGCTTGAAGTTGCAATCTTAACGTATGGTATCATTGCAGGTAAGGAAAGCATAACATTTTAAAAATAAATTTTGACCTTCAAATATATGACTTGTATATCTTATTATTGAATAAACTCTGTCGGGAGAGATTATTATGATTCATATCCTGTAATCATAACCGTACTATATCCTCAATCGAAAAGGAGACAATGATTTAATGTATAATAAGTAAAAATGTAGTACATGTAGAAAATTAAAAAGAATTTATGAATCAATGCATGGATAAATCGTTTGCAGCTTTAAAAAAAAACAAGTAAATGATAGGTAACAGATAAGGAGTTGAAGGGCGCTGTTAAATTCCCCTATTTCTAGATTTCTGTTATTTTTTCTTCTCTAAACAAAGTTTTTTTTAAAGAAATGTGCAGTCCAAGCTAGTTGATTTGTATAATTCATATATTTCTTGCACTAGTGTCCGACATGATTTCCGTGTTAAAATAAAGTAATTGCTTATGTTCTATATTTAAAAAAAAACGCATGTAGAAATTCTCGAATTTCAATAATATTAAAGAATAATATCGCCCCAACCTGTCGATTTCTTGTAGAATTGTTTTCGAAGACATTCTGAATCAATATTGCTTTAGGATCAGGCACTTGTAAAATTGTTCAGTGAGAAACTGTAATGATAACTTCATGTATATCCTAATTATTTTATTAAAATTAGAATTAAGAAAAAAAGTGAAGATAACGAACTGATCAATCTCAAAATCCCTGTAAATAAAAAATGCAAATAGGGCAAAAACAACGAACACACCATAAATGGGATCAGATTCCTGGAGTAAGCATCCCTTATTGACCTGTCACACCCACATTGAACCCTCTGTATTAATCAGGTAAATGAGTAGTCCACAGTCAAAATTAGTATCAAAACAATTCTCTAAGAATTGGTATGAAATTTTAGCTAAAATATGCGTATGCTACGGTATGCTATGTTGTAAACAATATTATTACTATAGTGTCATTACATTATTGTATAATGACCAAAGAATTTGCGAAATACAGACTTTAAACGATATTGTATAGAAAAACCTGCAACATCAACCTACTTTTCAGTAGCCTATCTCCGTTTAAAAATTGATCGTATTCAGAACATGTATATTCTTGTGTAACGAATCAATTGGTAGAAAAAAACACCATATAGGTTAACACATGAAAATATCAATAAAGTTAATTTAGGAAAAAACATACATACGTACATTAAAGGGGCCTTTTCATAACATTTTTTGCATGAAGAGATAAAATATGTCAGAATTTTAATATATTAGTAAGACTTTATTTAACTTTTCATAACAGTATTAATGAGGACCCTATTGCATAATAACCTCAAAAACATTCAAGACTTTTAAACACAGTGGTAATGTACTAGTAAGAAACAGATTAATCTTTTCATAACATCTATTAGTAATTAATAAATCAATCTTTTCATAACAATTATTGAATGAACATATGCTAAAATTTCAAAATTATTGGTAATGTACTAGTGATAAATAATTTGATATTAACTTGATAACATGGAATAAAAATAGGGGGTGAATAAATGTCCATGGACTTTTCACCGCTTCCATGCATGTATGAGAATAATTTGTTTGTACATCCTTGGTAAATGAAACCAACTCCTGAAGGCCGAATGGTAAACAATACGGTGCGAGTGACCGTAAGTCAATTATTGTGTGATGAATTATCCAGATAAAAAAATGGAGAGAAAAATGCCAGAAGAGAAAAATTAAGTGGAACCTGTGGTTATAAAAGCATGGAGGATTTAATTTACTGCTTAATACATTTGCAAACTTGAAGTAAATTTCATTGTTGATGATGGATATTCTCGGAAAATGCAAAAATGATAATAAATATTGGATCGGGTGGCATAAAAGTAACAGCCATCTCGGGGATAGGATTCTCCAGTAGCGGAACCCAATCTACTTCCATTTATTTATAAGATAAGAGAAGCTTGTCCTACTTTCATGTTTTTGTTTTATAAGGTTTAATTTTCCGGATGGGTTATTCAATATAAATGAACTTATTTAATGATATATGACATAGTTTCTAATTTTTTTTTTACTCTGACTTCTTATTTTGCACTAGTGTTAATTTTCAATTATCTGTTTTATGTAATTTTGTTTAGAGCTATAGATTAACGTTACAAATTCTGTAATGCGCTTAAACCAATTTATTAGATGAACTTAATTACCTATAAATTTTGTAAGCAATACGTCATGATATATTCATGAAATATCAATATATATCATATTTATTTTCAACAGATATCCAAACCTTATCATATTAAACGAAGCAGAAAATCATGTCTAGTCCAGCCTCACAACAACATCACTTAATTATTATTGGATATGGCCCCACACCTCATACCGAGCTGAATAATAATCCTAAAAGACATTAAATTAAACTGTTTGTTACCAATGTAATAAATACAACATAAGTGACTTTAAGTTCGTTTGCTTAACGTTAAGGTAAGCCAACGAAATGTTAATGCAAAGACTAGGAAAAGTGTTAGTCATTACTTGTAACGTTCTTTAATACTAGTATATGCAATTCAGATGTGTTGTACAGATAACAATGCTATTATTTCAACTTGAATCGACTGCTAGCATTGACGTAAATTGCTGAACATCAGAATCCATTTTTATTACAGGGATTGGCAATGGACTAGTAGCTACACCTCCACTGGTAGCCGTGGGGTATTATTTCAGAGAGAAGAGAGGATTTGCCATAGGGTTTGCTGTAGCGGGGGCTGGTACTGGAATGTTCATAAGTGGTCCTCTTTTTCAGTACCTCATAGATTCTTATGAACTTCAAGGGACAATGTTGATACTTGGTGCAATATTTTCAAATCAGATTATCCTTGGTTGCATAATGAGACCTTCTGAAACAGAAATTCACCACAAAGCACTACGAAACAAATCAAAAGATGGTCCAGGGAACAAATTCAATTTCAGAAAACATCTTCATCTTGAAATTTTCTGTGATAAAATGTTTGTTGTTATACTTTTACAATTTTTGATTTGGAATATTCCATTTTCTATGCTTTTGTTACATCTTCCTAACTTTTCTGTTGTCTATGGATCATCCGAACAACAGGCTGCCTTTCTGATCTTCCTGATTGGTTTGACAGGGACTATTGGGCGTGTCCTCACAGGGATGGCAGTAAGTCCACATGCTATTGACCCTGTGTTAATGAACATGGGCATTACAGGAGTGCTAGGTATTATATGTGGGTTGTTCCCTTTCTATTCATCTACATACGCAGGGCAGTGCACATTTGCTGCTCTATTTGGGATCTATAGTGGAGCTTTAACAACTATGATTACACCATTAAGTGTTGAACTACTGGGTTTGGAGAAATTGTCGTCTGCTGTAGGTATAATGTATTGTATTGGCGGAATTGGATATTTAATTGGACCGATTTTTGCAGGTAGGAAAAGCAATCTTTATAAATTCCTAATTTTAATTTTGAAATATGTTCTGGAAAGTCAAAGTCTGTGAAAATAATTCAGTCTACATTTAATTTTAACTGTATTTTTTTATTCATATTTGTTCTTTATAAAGGAAGTTTCTTCTTTATTCAAAGGTACTCTTATAGATAGTGGTGGAAAATACGAAACAACATTCTATATATCAGGTCATTTTTTTTATTAGATAAATCGTAATAATTTCATCAAAAAATCAATATACTGAATATTAAAACCCACATAATTTGATTTGTTCATACTTTCAAGTTTCTTGTATTATCTTTCAAAATGATTCCAGATCTTTATTTATATATATAATTTGGGTTTTTGTAGGTTGTTTGTTGATTATTGCTTCTCTTCTGACACTGTTATCTACATGCTGGAGAAAAGACTACGGGTCTCAGACAGAGAGGACCGACCAATACGAAACACCAACAGACAGTCAAACAATGAAGAATTCAACCTTCCTTTACCAATCAGGGCTCCTTGCTGGATCCATAATAATTCAAGCAGATGAACATTTAGGGAGTACGACATCCGCCATATCTATGAAAAATCCTCGAATATTAAGGTTAAATCATCAGTCTGGGGAATATGAAAGTGAAGAAAGTCTGTTTAAAAACATAATGCTTCGAAAGTTACAGAAAAATAGCAGTGCTTGTAGTAGTCAATACAGTTTGTTTAAAGACCACGACTCCATAAGACATGATACTGATAATTTACCTGATATTAACAAAAGCAATGATATCAAGACTGAAAGTGCTTTAATCCATGGAGATATTTCTAACATACAATCTAAATCTGTCGCACAAAATAGGGGATCAAATGCAGACAATTTATGATATAAATACATTTGTAGTATTAATATGATAAGCAATTCTCTTTTTAATCAAATTTATATGATTAAAACGTCTTTGTTTGGGATTCTTATTTATTATCTTCCACTTTTCTACAACTACTCTTCAAAACTGCTTCCCCCTTCAACCTTCTTCTAATCCACTTAAATATTGTTGGAACACCCTTGCAGTGGTAATGGCTGACTGGCTTAAAAATTCACAAACTAAAAAAGTGGATAAATAATATTTTAAAAAGGCTGAATATTTAATTAATAATAACAAAACTATACGTAGGTTTATTTCACATATTGTTATGCGACGTTTGCACTTTATGGACAGATAAAAGAGAAGTTCTGCAATTTTGTCACAATGGTATAAATCCCGATCAGTACTATGAAATTGGAACCACTGGAATAGCAATAAAGCTCTTATCAAATGCATCAATATTATGAAGTCAGTTTTGTGTAGTTTTTCAACCTTGGTGTGTTCACAATGTGTGTGTGCATTGAAAATAGTTTATCTGAGCTTGTCAGGTGATTCCTATGACAAAATAATGTTGAAAACATTTTACCTGTGTATGTTCAGCAAAAAGCACTGGATATATGTTTGTTTAGAGAGAGAATTTAAACTTGATTCCATCCAAATGTTGCAGATACTCTGCACATATTAAATAATGAGCTTGTCCTATTTTAACAATGATATTTAAAGAACACATACACGTATATCTTGAAGGAAAACATTGAAATGTATCAACGAGATTACTATAGCACTATAATTTGCACATAGAAGTATTATGACCTTGTGTGGACTTCTGATCAAGCACTGAGGTGGACAATACAATAATGAAATTTAATTCATTTAAAGAATTAAAATTATGTTTGAGATTGTCATGAACATATTAACGATGGCAAAATAATACGAGCGTGTCGTAGGTTAGTAGACTACCTGTTTAAGATTTTCCTTAAGAATATCACTGCTAATTTGAAGTACAGAAACAGATAAAAACATGTAAGCAGCAATCCTCTACCCAACACACGTGAAAGGATTACCCAGAGTGAATGCATTTCAAAGCTCTACTTAGCTACCACTTATCCACTATATGCTTTCTGATGCAGTTACTGTTGCGATAAGAGCGCATGAAATGATCTGAAATCAATATGTTGTTTTTTAACATGTACAATTTCAGATGCTTCTTCAACCCAAAATATTTACTATCAATTAAATGGTACCAACTGTTATAGATGTTTGTAATAATGTTAATTTTTTTTATTTCTGGAGATATTCACAATTTTTACTGATGGTTTATGTTCTCCTCACTGCTCACTGCATGATTCATGCAATTTATCAAATAGAACAACTCGTATTATATTTCTCAATCTAAGTTCTAATAGGTATAGAAAATAGTAAATGTCTCTTCATCACTGTCTTATTCTGAATTCTGATGAAATACATAGATGTCGCTATTGATCTGTTGAGTGCTGTCTTAATTCACCGTATTTGAGCTGAAAGCTCAAATTAGCAAAGTTTTTCCATGATGTCCAGCTGTTTGTCATTTAAGACTTTTCAACCAACTGTAAAATTCACAGTAAAATATCCCATTGATAGAGGTTGCGAAGTTTTAACAAAAATGTGATTTGCTTCAAATAATGCTTTGAATCGATATTCGTTGAAATGGAAAATGTGAGATAACGAACAGTGACCAATTTAAAAAAAAAAAACAAACTACAAACTTTACAAATCTTTGAACAGGGCATAAAACACTGACCCCGGAAATTTCAGAGGTGTGATCAGGTGCCAAGGAGGAGAAAGCATCCCCTGTCGATCGGTCACAACCGCCGTGGGCCCTTTTTATTGATCAGGTAAACCACTGAATTTACTTTAACGGAGTTGTTGAACTCATTCTAATAGTTTTCATGGCTTATTGGGTTGATTTAGGTTGATTTATTCAAACAAATTTTAATTTATTAAATTAATGCAATATTTTCGTTATTTTGACATTTCTTTGTAACAAAGTAACCAATAAAAAATTGCACCCAGGGTAGGATTCAATATAGATAAATATTGCATGTAGTTGAGAGTAACAGTGAAATTTTCATACCTCGAGAACCATGGTTTTTCTCGGGTTAAAATTTCGATCTTTCCTCGGCTGCACTTTGGTTAACAAGGTTTTTTTCTCGGGGAGAAAATTTGAAATGTTAATCTCAAATACATGCAGTATTTATGTAATGTAACCCCGTTTTTTACTATCAGTAGATTGCATGGAATCGTGGGCTTGCAGCACTTTTGTTAAAAGCCAAAAAGTCTACCTGTCAATGTGGACAAAGATTAACGATAGAACATAGATCAGGCGAATGTCCTTAAGACACCTTAAGCAAATAGCCTTCTCATAATAAACCTTATGTTCAAAGGCAACAGAATCCGGAGCTTCAGATAAGTTACTGATAAACAAAGATAACAATATTTAAAGCAACATTACAGAATTTTGCATTCCAAGACATTCATGTATTCCAATTTTAATGTAATGTTTCAGGTCAAAGAATCAAAAACAACTATGTAAGAAAAGGATAAACAAACTGCTTATGGACATTAAGGTTTAAAACTTGTATTCATTAGCATTAAGAATGTCAAATCTTTCAAACCACATAACAGTAATTAAGTGAACTTGTTTCTGATAATCAATATTGTCACAATTAACACAATTAAGCATAAAAAAGTAACAATTGAATGCATCACAAGGCGGATGTAATGGGCTGACAGGGGATACTTACTCTTCCTAGGCACCTGATCCCACTTCTTGTGTTTTTGCTCTATTCACGATTCATTTAGTTTACTGGATTTATGAGACTGATCACTTTTCGTTATCTTCACTCTGTTTTTGTGTGTGTGTACCAAGATGATAACCCACGACGGGGCACGAGAGAATTCTACTAATCGACGAAGTCATGTATACATATGGAACGCCATATCAACATTTATCCATTTATTTGTATCTATCTTCAATTTATTTGTACCTATCTTTGAATCAATTTTATCTATCTCCAAAAAAATTGAAGATAGATTTAATTCATAATACATATCATTAAATGTCTTAGAGAAATGTACCATGATTTGACGATAGGTATAATTGATTTGAAGATAGGTACGAATAGAAAAATATATTCCTTTAAGATAGCTGCAATTTCATTGAACCTAGGTATAATTGATTTATATGTATCTTCAAATCTTTGTTGAGATTATTAATTGTACCTATCTTTAAAATCGATCTTTAATATCGGTTGTACCTATCTCCAAATGAATTAAAGATAGGTACATATCTCCAAATGAATTAAAGATAGGTATAATTCAATTGAACCTATCTGTAATTGAATTGATCCTATCTGTATTGGAATTAAAGATAGGTGCAATTCATTTGAAGCTAGGTTTAATTACTTAAAGATAGGTGTACCTATTTTTAAATATTTGTACTATCTTCAAATCAATTGAACTTATCTCCAAATGAATTGAAGACAGGTTTATTTCAAGTATACCTACATGTATCTTTAATTCATTTGGAGAAAATACAATAGATTTAAAGATAGGTATGATAGAATTGAAGATAGGTACAAATATCAAGAATTAAGAATAAGTTGATTTAAAGATACAATTTTTGAAGGTGCAATTGAATTGAACCTAGGTTTAATTGATTTGTACCTATCTTCAAATTCTTTGTGGAGGTGTATTAATTGTACGTATCATTAAATCAGTTGTTTCTACATGTGTTTCTCCAAAATAATTAAAGATAGGTATAATTAAATTGAACATATCTGTAATGGAATTAAAGATAGGTCATACTCTTTTGAACCCAGATTAAATTATTTAAAGATAGGTGTAATTTTTAACACCTATCTTTAATTCATTTCAAGCTATCTTTAATTCAATTGTACCTATCTTCAATTCATTTGAAGATAGGTTCAATTAGTACAAATATTTGAAGATACACATATTTAAAGAAAGGTGCAAATATTTGAATATTTGTTAATTTGGCATTCCATACACACAACAATTATTATTGCTCCAATTTTTGTCATTATGATTATACACACCAAAAACAAGATTTTTGTTAAAGTAACTTATATTTACAATAGTTCATCAGATACTTATCCCTAACCCTACATCTATATCAAATTTAATGCACACTTTAAAGGGTATGTATTCTTCAGAGAAAGTATAGTTACAATCTTTTTTTTAGTTACTCTGGTCTCTTTCTTTTTCACTAATTGTTTGTCTTCTGACGTTTTGAGAACATATTTTAGGAGTGCTTATTATTGACAACAGTGTCGAATGTTCATAACAAAGTACTTATACTCTGTGTTTTCCTTATGTTTTTTGCTGAATGAAAAATTGCATTTCTCTGACAGGGAAATGTACCGCAAAAACTGAAAAAAAATTTTAAAAAGATGTAATGCACAAGATCTTTTAAATCTCATTTGGAGAACTTTAGAATACAGACTATAATAGCTAAGAAAGGTTTTTGTTTGAATAAAGCAAAAGAGAAGGGATGATATAGCTTGTTTCATTGAGCTTTTTCATTTGATGGGGATGATTTAAATAGAATGAAAGTCTTTTTATAGTTTTGATAGTCTTATAGACTTCATTTATTTACAGAATGAAAAGAATTTTTCTCTGACCTGAAATTTTTCGAAGAGTGGTTCTACATATACCTATGATTAACAGTTTTCACCATTTCCCCGGTTCCAATCTCCTTCGCAACCATTGTATATTAATTTGATAAATTATCACATTGTTTTCTTCAAAAGTTCTAGTCTGGAACTGTTAACTGTTCTGAAGTGGCTTCATCCTGGTCCTATAAGAATCATTACTTCATCAGACAAATCTTCACTGCATGCATACTCTGCTTGTAAATTAACCACTTAAGAGGGCTGGGTGGTCGTGGCCATTTTTAGACTATATTGATCTCCTTTAGAAGAAGAACTCCATATAAAGATAAACAAAAATGATCAAATTTTAAAACTAAAATGTATAAATTTTTTCTCTGCCAAATGATAGTTTACAGTTTAAGATAT